CTCTCTCTCTCTCTCTCTCTCTCTCTCTCTCTCTCTCTATCTATCTATCTATCTATCTATCTATCTATCTATCTATCTATCTATCTATCTATTTGACGATATATATATATATATATATATGTATATATATGTGTCAACCTTCCACATGAATAAATCTTTCTCTTTATCGAGGAAGATTCACTTTCGCTTGGCATGTCTGATTTTCTTTTTCCTTTTTTTTCTTTTTTTTTTTGCACAATATTATATGGATTTTTTTATTTTTTTATTTTTTTTCTTTTCGAGGATTTACTACCAGGTGTCCAAGGCTCGACAATAAAGTTCGAGGCTCATGAACGATCTGGCTACTAGTAGTCCGAGCCTCGGGCTTGATAGTTGGGCGAGGTACTGGTGGTTTAATGATATTCATGGGATACTTTACCCAGTTTCCAGTAGGTGCGCTCGACACCAATAGACAATAGAATGTGTGTGCGTGCGTCTGTGAGAGTGTATGTTTGTGTGTATATGTGTATGTGTGTGTGAGAGAAAGAGGGTGCGTATGTGCACGTTCATGTGTGTATGTGCGTGTGTGTGTGTGTGTGTGTGTATCAGAGAGAGAGAGTGAGAGAGTTGCAGTATGCATCATGTCAGTGGCGGGGAGCATAAGGGCAAACGCTGACTTCCAAACTCTTAAAGAAAATGTAATATGTAATTGGAACACAAAAGTTTTTATTTTCATAATTCAAGTAAAAAAGGTACGTATTGTATTCGAACATAACGCGCTCGTGTTTTAGCAGAACTGCTTTTCTATTTGAGAAAAGTGGACCCACATGGTTTCGATTTCATAATGTTCAAAACACAAGGACCGACCTCATCGCCCTCCTACGAGTAGCTATTGATACTTCACATGCCCCGCCCCTTGCCAAGATCCGAAACCTATATTTTGACGGAGTTTCACCGACTCATCAAAAGGCTATATATATATATATATATTGTCACAAAACTACAAACAAAGAGAGTTTGAGAGAGAGATAAATAAAAACACATAGAGATGGGGGAGGGAAAGAAGGAAAAGCATAGAGGTACTTGATTTTTACAGACTGTATGAATATTTGACACACCTTTATTTGTACTTGGTTTTGAGGTGGTGGTCCTTGAATCTTGTTGTCCACATAGCGTATAGTTGAGTGTTCGAGTGTAGTTGTTATTTGTGTTAACATAATTCTTGATGATTAGTGGTGTTTTATATATAATTAATGTATCGATTATGTTTGACAAAGTAGTTGTAGTGGATAAGTGATTATAGAGTACGGGAATAGAGTAATTTTGTTAAGTGTCTAAAAACAGACTTCGTTATCAATTAATTTCTTATACAGAGGCAATTTTTTTTAGAGAAATCATTGATATGCGAAAGTGGGTAAGGTAACATAAGATGTCAAAGTATAACGAGGACAAAAACATTTCAATCGTTTAAATTAGTTTGTTGCATTCCTTTTAACATATTTGTTTTTGCATTTTTTAATATGCTAAAATAATTTTGTATAGTTGATAGTCCTCATTTGATATTAGAGAAAAATGTTGTATCAGTACTGGGAAGGTTGTCATAACAATATACAGTTTCTATTTCAAAATTTTAATATAAAAGTGTCCAATTAGTATTGTTTATGTTTATCGGAATAAAAAAATTGTGTGAGTGTTGTGAATGATGAAATTTTATTTTTTATTTGGATTTGAAGATCAATGCAAGAGTAATCATTTTTTGTTATTCCTTGGTCGTATGCAAACGTGTTAGCTATGAAGATTGTTGTTGATTTATCAAGTATTAATTTTGTGTAACTATTTATTGGTATATCTATGATCCAATAATGTTAATGTAGAATAATGTATAAAAATGAGTCTGAATCCATTGGGATGAGAATAACGTTTTTCATCAACTAAATTTGTATGTTGTAAAGATAAGGTGTGAAGAGCTACGTAGCACCATGTTCACGTTCGGAGGGGAACGCGAACATGTTCGCCCGAACGAGAACAAGCGCCAAAAACCCTCCGAACGCGAACATAAAAAATACATATAAAAAAAATAAAAAACAAAGTTAT